CTACGGCTCTGGAACGGAAGATGATGGATCGATTCCGGTGGGAGTCTTTGCAGATAGGGGTATCTCCAGAGAGGAAGACTTCAAATACTGTCTTTGAAGAAGACAATCGAGTAGGTCAGCTGTAACACAACACCAAAGAGATGAAAAACCGGACCAAATTGGCCACCTACACGTGTTGGCAGCATGCAAGATGGCCCTTTGTTAGAGTAGGTTGTTTTGTGTGGTGTTCTGCTTGTCAGGGGGGAACGATTTGCAAAGATGGGCTTTGCCGACTTTGAGAGAAGAGGGATTCCTGTCAAGCAACCACTCTGTTTTAGGTAGGTAGATATTGGAGACGGACCCGGGGCGGCTAAGAATACGACAGGCCATCACCCAGTCACTTCGGGAGGCGTCAGGGCCAGAAAGACTTCTTCCTCTGGGGCAGGAGATCTTAAGCGGCGAGCAGAGAATCAACAACCCGGATGAACTAGATGAAAGCATCAGAGCCAAAAGGGATTGGTCCCAAAAGTGTAGGAATACCCAGGCACATCGACCTCTTCCGGCAGGTCGGGGCACCTCCTCACGGTGGCGGTGGGTTGGACTACCTTGGACGATTGTTGCTTGGTTCTTGGGGTTACCGAGCGTACATCTCGCAGCGTATTACCCCAGACCCAAGAATACTATTACCACAAACACACCATAAAAGCAGAGACAACTCTACTATTCGAATTTCATCAACCTTAATTGAACCCTCCATCTTACACCTCAACTGATATTCACCCCCCTTTACGCCTCCGGTAAAGGTGGAAAATCCTCATCCAACACCTTCCCCAACCCACCCCCATCCTCCCCAACCCCATCCCCCAAAACTCTCCCCCTCTCCCAAGGCTTAACCGGCACCCTCCTCCCCCCAACAGGCACCACCCCCTCCCCCCTCACAACCCGCTCCTCAATCTCCCTAATCCCCTCAATCGTCTTCCCCGTCGTCACCGCTTCGATAATCGCCTGAAACTTATTAGGATATTCCCCTTTCCTACCCTCGCCTTCCCCTTCCCCCTCCCCATCCTCCGCCTTTTTCGATAAATCAACCTTCACCCCCCCACTCCTCTGCCACTCCGGCACTTCCTCCTCCTTTGGTCCCTCTGCTGGTGGGACAGGAGTATTGTTGTTTATCTTCTTTTGGATATTCACATACAGCCAAGAGGCCTTTTTGAGGATTTCCTCGTCTGGGGTTGGGATTGTGGTGGCGGAGGAAGGGGAGGGGGAGATGGGGACGTTGAATTTGGCGGTGTAATATTTTGCGCGGAGGGTCTGGATGGAGGTGAGGACTTGGGGCTTGGTGAAGGGGGAGGAGAGGGATTGGGGGGATAGGAGGGGGCCGAGGGTTGTGATGAGGGATTGCTGCGGGGGAGTTGTTAGTGAGTGGTGGGATGAGGAGGGGAGGGAGGAGGTACCATGAATTCTCGGTCTGAGGCCCAGGGGTAGGTGTTGAATGCTTGGAGGGTTTGGGGTGGGGTTTGTTGGGTGGCCATATTGAGGTTTTGAACGTGAAATAGTGAATAGGAATATGAGGGGTTACTGTTTACGAGATCGGAATTGATGAGTGAGGTCGCCAAGCTGGTTATGACGGGGGTGGTTTTCCGTCGAGAGCCGAGGATGTGGTGAGGTGGTGAGGTGGTGGGGGTGGCTGGGGGAGAGGTTGATGTCTCTGAGTAAATTTGTGATATGAAAGTCAAAGAGGTCAGATTTCAACTTGAGATTTCCGGAATGATATGAAACACTCAACGTTGACAGTATCATGAATGACTGTGGTTGGAGTCGCATGTGAAAGCCAGGGAATCCCCACCATCATAGAGACAGTGTGAAGGACAGTGCTAAAGACGGCAGAGACTGTGCCAAGATATCAAAGCTCCTTCTCGCAACAAAAGAATATATACTAGCTGGCATGTGTGTGGAAGAAACTATTTGGTCATATATTGATGCCTTTACTCACTAATGCTTCATAATATCCTCCACTGTGCATTTTAAACACCATGTTTGTCTCTATCTACTACGCCCCAATTTTCCAGCTACTACTAATTTTTCAATATATTTCTACTTGAGAAGATTTAACGTAATACTATAAAAACTCTAGGAAAACTTCAACTATAGTTTTATCCTTTTTTTGTTTTTTTAATTTTATTAAGTAATTTAATAGTTAATAATACCCTTAAAAAGTACCGATACTTAAATTTATTTTTCATAAGTTTAATGTTTTCAAACGGACTATATTTTTAAGTAAATGAAACTTTTATTATATAATCCGTTTTAGTATAATATAAACGCATGATATATTTAAATAATCTTGGACTTTTTGTTAGCTGGTAAGCCCTGATAGGCCTATAATATAGAATCTATACAGGGTTGCTGTAAAATACAGCAGTGCGCAAGCGGAAGCGGGAGGATACGACGGCAGTGCCGAAGGAAGGTAAAGCACTGTAATACAGTGAGGTATAAGGAATAAGAATTGCCTTTATTACCCTTGGCCTTGGCCTTTGGCCTTAGCCTTAAGCTTTTGCCCTTAAGGAAAGAAAGAAAGGAACTATTCTACAGGAGAGAGGAGAGGTCTATATATAGGCCTTCGTAGGCCTACTGTGGGTCCTGTAGGCCCTGGAAGCCCCTATACCACTTTGGGGTATTTGGTGGGCTTAAGTGGGTCTAGTGTAGACTCACGGAAATCCATAGAACCTTCGGCAGCAAAGGTGCCCTATAAATCACACTATTGTGGCAACTTACTACGTAAGCCTATAGCCACTTTGGAAGGTTCTAGTATCCATTGACTAAGCCTCAGGCCACAGTAGCCCTGTAAGCCTTCAAGGGTCCCTTGTAAAGAATATTCTAAAGGGATCCAAGCCGGGAAGTTCCATTACTGCTTATAGCAGTACTGCCCACTGTAATATCAATCTGTAGGGCAGTAAATAGGGCACTTAGTAGTACCCACACATTAACACTTTTATATAAAACTTTATATTTAGGAATATTTTAATATTAATAGTATTAAAATTATTACTATTAAATTAACGTTGTAGCAAAGGAAATGAACTGATAGTAGTAATATTATCAAAACGAAATCATTAACCGTTAAGTTAAAATCAAAAATATAGTTCTTTTATCAAATTAATTACCTTAATAATAATATTATTATCAATTAATTTTATCATTCTAAATAAGTAAACTTTTTAATAATCATTATATTTAAAATCTGATTTAACTTATTAGATTATTAAAAAATAATGATGAAATAATGAGAAAACACACAAAACAACCACAACACCACAAATATACTGTCACAGTTAACCCAACAGCAGGCCGCGCCACATGTGGGGCGCAGGACGTCCCTAGCCAATCATTAGAGAAGTCAGGAGACAGCCAATCATGGCTGGACGAAAGTGCTATAGCGCCAAGACACACGAGCACTCTGCAGGATGCAAGATGCTACGAGTGATCAGGGGCATAGCACGACGAGCACTTTGCAGGATGCAATGTGCTATGGGTAATCGGGGCCGTAGCAGGGCGAGCACCTCAGGGCCCCAGGATCTATATATACGGAGGAACTGGCTGGTGTAGATAGACAGTTCCGCAGTATGCAATCCACAGTTGTATTCACGGTATCTTGTGTTTACATTGAGACATCTTGTTGTGCACTGTCTAGCTGCACCGAACCAATTGTCAGAAGTTACCTTCAACCCGTATCCCTTTCAGAGGTTCTGTACAGGGGTTCGTCACAAATACCTGGTACTTATAGCTCACTACTAGGGCGTACAGCTTTTGCGCCTTACCGCGCTGAGCAACAGAGCTGTAGAAGGTAACCTTTTGTATTTAAAGTGATTTGTGTCACAGTTAAGCTAACGGGCAGATCAGACAGTATGAGCGGCACGGGACGCGCTTAGCTAATCATTAGATTAGACAGAGGGTAGCCAATCAAGATGCGATCAAAGAATGATCACTATGATCAAGGGCAAAACTAATTAGGGCGTGATCAAAGTGATCAAGGTATGATTATAATGATCACTGGCAGGGCCAGTCAGGACGTAATCAAAGCAGCTTAGCCATGATCAGTCTAGAGCGCTGAGGTTTACATATATGGAGGACCTAGATGGGCATCAGATAGTTCCGCAGTATGTAGCACAAGTCACATTTGTTGTTATCTTGACTAATGAGACAAGCTATTTGTTATACACTATTTAGCTATATTGAACTAGGATTGTTCAGAAGCACTTTCGACTAGCTTCTTTTTCAAAGGTTCTAGATAAGAGTTTGTCACATTATAGCAGTAACTCACTGTAAAATAGGTCTTACGAAAATAAATTTTAATATATACTACTAACGATTAATTATAATAGTAAACGTAAAAGATAATCTAATTAATAATTAGTTACATTATTAATTATTTAATTAGGTTGATTAAATTTTAAAAGAAATAGCTTTAAGTTTATTATTTTACGGTCTTTTATAATATTATTAGAAGTTTAGGTGGCGCTAAGTATACTAGCAAAGTTGGATTTCGGTGATGTAGCTAGAAAAATAAATCTAGTAGGTGGGGGACTGACGTGGTGTTTAGGATGCACAGCAAGACACACATGACAGTTGACGTCTCTGTGCTTCCAACTGCGTTTGTCCGTCAGGACGCACGGACCACTAGGATCAAGCTGTGGAAGGCTTTGGTGAAGACAGTGAGACAGCTCCTGCTTTCCATCCCAAGTGACAAGAAAGGACCAAAGAGTATTTGAGAAAGGGCATTGTTGTTTTGTTTCTTCTTGATCAAGACATTCGTTGTTGTTGACTGCCACCGGTCGTGTCTCACCTGCCACCACCACGAAAGCCACCACCGGCCCCAATTCGTGCATTTGCACCGCTCCCGCATCACCGACCCTGACAGACCGACCATATCTCTCTCCCCCAATCTTCCGCCTTGAATCCCAAACCTCCCTCCCATCCGATACTTAACCAGCGGTACGGCATCACCCCCGGCGACCGCGAAAATGCGCCGCGCTGCCGTACAAGCCTTTCGGACCACGTTTCAATATACTGCCCGGGGCCTTGGCCGACGCCCCTTCACAACCTCTCTCCCCACCACCGCCGCCCGCCGTCTCCTCTCCTCAACCTCCACCACCGCCGCCCGTCGCACCCTCAAGAATCACAGCAATGTCACCGGTATTCCCCCTCCCCTCCTAGAGAACATCAACAACAACAACAGTCTCCCCCTCCCACCACCCCTCCAATCCTCAATGTACTACCGCCGCGCCTCGGTCGTCCTCGCGTCGGCACTCGTGGGCTACGGAGCCTGGTACTCGTACAACGGCACCGACGTCAACAACGTCCCCGTCAAGCGCGGCTACTCCACCACCACCATCACCGACACCTCCACTGCAGACACCTCCCTCCCGACACGCAACGTCTTGGTCATCAGCGCTGACCAGCTCCACACCGGAACGATAGTAGGCGACGGACCCATCAGCAAGACCACCTCGGAAGACGGCACGAGAGTGATCGAGATGCTCAACCCGGAGCAGGCGACAGAAAAGTTGAGGAAGCTGGAGGAGTCATATCTCGTCAACCGAGGCCAAGGCGTGGTGAGATACGACCTTGTGCAATTACCAAGCAACGACCCAATCGAGGACGACCACACGGAGAAGATCATTGAGATGCAGCCCGCGACGAGTGAAAAGGGGGGGAATGATTGGATGTTTTGGGGGGTGTTTGATGGACATAGGTTTGTCTCATTCCCCAGTTGTTTAATCAAGCAAAAATCAAAACAGCTAACAAAAACAGCGGCTGGACAACCTCTGCCAAACTCCGCCAGACTCTCGTCTCTTTTGTCGCCCGTGAGCTGAACCAGACGTATCAAGAATCAAACAATGACCTCTCGGGTCCCGGCGTGGAGGCGGCTATTAGAAAGGGGTTTTTAAAGCTCGATGATGAAATAGTCAACCAGAGCGTGCAAAAAGTCATGAGAGCCAACAACAAGACCATGGCCGCCGAACTTTTGGCACCTGCCCTGTCCGGATCATGCGCCTTATTGTCCTTTTACGACTCCCGCTCTAAGCTCCTCCGCGTAGCTTGCACGGGAGACTCGCGCGCCGTTTTGGGCAGGAGGACAGAATCGGGAAAATGGACGGCGACGCCGCTGTCGGTTGATCAGACCGGCTCCAATGTGGACGAGGCGAGTAGACTGAGGAGGGAACACCCCAACGAGCCCTATGTCGTTCGGAACGGGAGGGTGCTGGGGGGGTTGGAGCCGTCGAGGGCGTTTGGGGATGCGAGTTACAAGTGGACGAGGGAGATTTCGGAGAGGTTGAGGAAGCACTTTTTTGCGAGGTCGGTCTCGCCGGCGTTGAAGACGCCGCCTTATGTGACGGCTGAGCCGGTGATCACTACCACGAGGATTGAGCCGGAGAGGGGGGATTTTGTGGTGATGGCTACGGATGGGTTGTGGGAGATGTTGACTAATGAGGAGGTGATTGGGTTGGTGGGGAAGTGGATTGATGCTCAGCAGCAAAAAGGGGGGAAACAGTCGGGGTTGTTTGATTCGGTTTGGTCGAGGACTTTTGGCGGTGGAGGGTCGAGTAAGGATGGGCCCGGGGGGTTGCCGGTGGAGGTGTCCAAGGTGGAGGAGGTGGAGGGTCAAAAGACGCCGTTTAGGGGGGTGAGGCAGTGGGGGGGGAATGATGGGTTTGTGGTGGAGGATGCGAATGTGGCGACGCACCTGGTGAGGAATGCGTTGGGGGGGAAGAACAGGGAGCAGGTTAGCGCGTTGCTGACGCTGCCGGCGCCGTTTTCGAGGAGGTATAGAGATGATTTGACCGTGCAGGTTATCTTCTTTGGGGAGGGGGAGGGAGAGGGGAGGGGGGAGGTGGTGGTGAATCGGGAGGCGAGCAAGGGGGTGAAGGGGGAGGGGGCGAGGGCCAAGTTGTAGGGAACTTGGTCTGTTCAACCCGGAGAGGTTTCAAGATGGGTATTGATACGTTTTCTTTGCTACATGGCGGTTGGTTTCCTACGGACTGGCTGGCGGCGCACCTGGGAATATATTTCGGTGGGCAGCGGGTGATGGCTTGTTTTTTTCTTCTTTTTTTTTGTTAGCTATCTGTTTAGTACATTACGGCGGGTGTAGCATATGGCGGAGGGGGTGTTTTCAGCAATGGAGTTTAGGTGTGGTTAGGAAAGACCAGTGATTACTTGTATCAATCAGTATCTTGGGAAAGTACCGACGATGGGTAAAGCAAGCAAACTTTAAAAAGACTCGACCGTTGTGCTCAGCTTGATCCTCCGTCCATTCTCCTGGGTGAAAACTCAAAGCTTGCCAGAAAGAATCACATCATTCAACCTCCTCTATACACATATCACACATTTGGTAGGGCTCTGAAAAACATCCCATCCCCAAGAACTGGCCGGACAGAGCAGCCGGGATGCGTGCCCCTGCCTTGCTGCCGGAAAACAACAACTGCAAAGAGGGAACATCCCTCCTTGGAGCCATCATATTCCAGCGGCCAAGCAGGGCACCTCTGCCCAGGCCAGTTCCTCGGGATGCTCCAACCCAACCCCCTCTTGGTATATCTCCCTCGACCCCCCCCCCCCCCCCCCTTACCCTACAACTTACTCCTCTCCCTCTGCGGCGGCCCGACAAGCGGATCATAGACCCTCTCCGCCAAAAAGTTCACCGGCCCAACCCCATGGCTAAAAAGCCCCCGTGCATCCACCATCCCCTCGTTCAACTCCTCAATCGTCCTCGCCCCAATGAGCCTCATATTCATCTCCATCTCATCCTTGAGCAACTGCATCGCCCTCTCCACCCCCTCCTGCCCGTACGCGCTCATGGCATACAAGAACGGTCTCCCTATCCCCACCCCCTTAGCCCCCAAACACAGCGCCTTGATGATATCCGTCGCCCTCCTCACCCCCCCATCAACATAAACCTCAATCTTCTTCTCCAGCCCCATCTTCTTCAGCACAGGCATAGTCTCCGCCAAGACTTCAATCCCCGACCTCGCAAAATCCAACTGTCGCCCTCCATGATTAGATAGCACCACGCCCGCGCACCCAACCTCCACCGCCCTCAACACGTCCTCCACTCTCTGAACCCCCTTCAAAACGATGGGCATCTTGGTAACGGACCTGAACCAGGGAATATCATCCCAGCACAGCCCCGGGTCGATAAAACTGCTGATCGCCCTCGCCGCACCCTGGCTGTTGTCCGTCTTCTCCCCTGACCCCTTCTGCACATTCGAGCCCTCATCCGTGAATTTCAACCTCATGTCTTTCTCCCTCCTCCCCAGCTGTGGCGCGTCAACGGTGATGAACAGCCCCTTGCAACCCCTCTTCTCGGCGTGCTCGACGATCCTCTTGGTGATGGCCCTGTCTTTGTTGACGTAGAGCTGCAGCCACTGGACTTGGCTTGCATCTGCAGCGTCCATGATCTCGTCAAAGGAGCAGGAGGCAAGGGTGGGGATCATTTGGACAACGTTGTGCCTCGCCGAAGCACGGGTGAGGACAACCTCGCCTTCTACATGACCGAGTTTGCCGAGAGCGGTGGCGGTGACGTAAAAGGGAATGTCGACCTTGGTGCCGAGCATGGTGGTGGAAAAGTCGACTTTTTCGACGTTGACGAGGATTTTGGGGCGGAACCAGATGCGTTGAAAGGCTGTTTGGTTTTCTCGGAGGGTCTACATCTCATGTTGGTTCGCATTTGTCCCAAGATGACCAAGAGCTCAAGAGGGAGAGGGGAGGGGGGCTTACAATCTCATCATCAGCCGCACTAGAGTAATACCCCCAAGCAGTCTTCTTCATCACCCTCTTTGCCACGCCCTCAAAGTCAAGCAAGTTGTAGCATTGTTCGAGCAAGGGCATCTCCTCGATCCTCTTCATTCTCTCCTGCTCTTCTGGGAGGACCTCTTGTTTCTCGACGACGACGGTGGACATGTCGACGGGACCTTTGTGTTTGTCTTTTGGAAGGTATTTCTCCAGAGTGTCCGGGGGGTGGATGGGGTCGAATTCTTCGGTGGCGTCTTTGCCGGCGTATTTGAGGATGATTTTGGAGCCGCCGGGGTGTTCGGGGAGGAAGTCTGTCACGTCGTAGGCGCGGCCCTGGGGTTGTCAGTAGGGGGGGGGGGAGAGATATGAGGTGGGGAGCTGGAGAGGGGCACTACATGGACGATGACCCAGCAGTCGTCTGCCGACTTGTGTTTGGCGACTTCCACGCCTGTGAGCTCGACTTTGGTCATTTTTGCGGTGGTGGTGTGTTGTCCAAGGTGTTGTTCAAGGTGTTGTTCAAGGTGTTGTCCAGAAGACGGGTTGAAAGATGGGAATTGGTCGTGAAAGAGGTGCTCTTTAAACCAGTCTTGTTTCCTTGGGACCGAAATTTCCCCTAGTATGGGAAGGGGGCTGGTGTGAATTGTGAAAACGCGAGGATGGGACGAGTTATCTCCGGTGGTTGGCCGATCTGTTCGAGGTTGGTCGGTGAGGCTGTGGGGATGCCAGTGACTGAGAGGGAGATTCAATTGAAAGGGGGGTCTACGTGGTATATAAGAGAGCTGAGGGTAGATATCGGGAACAAAGGCCCCAAGCAACCAGTTGTCACACGGCTGGGTCAAGGGGGAAGAGGGCGCTCGAGCAAAGCATCATCCAAGCAATTGTCATTCGACAGGGATGCTTGGGGGGATGCTGAAGAGGCTCGGCATCTCGGCTGCGTGTGTTGCTTGTCTGCGGGGGGGGGGGAAATGTGGGGACCTCACCCCATTGCCTCAGGCGACGTCATCCGATTTGGCCGAGCTGGGTGTAATTACGGGCAATTTGGTACGGTATCTTACGTATTTTTGGGCTGTTGATTTCAAGCTGAAGGTGATGAGATGATTGATGGCATCGTCATGTTGAAGACCAGTCTAGATGTTTTGGTTCTCGTGGTAACAGGCCCCAAACATTTCAACCTTGTGGTTCCATGTCCCCCAACCGTTCCTATCCGTTCAACCAGATTAACAGGCACCACACAAAGGTCTCCTCCATCTCCATCCCAACAGCCCTTATTCCCCCTACCGTGCTATTGCTGTACATCTTGACCCTGAACATCCCGCCTCTTCCCCAGTAACTCCTCCTCCAACTTAAAACTCCTCCTCTCCTCCTCCTCCTCCCCATCACTCCCCTCCCCCTCTTCCTCCCCCGGGAAACCCCTCTCCTCATCCCCATTAACAACCACATACCACCCTACCCTCCCCGCCTTAACCCCCCCTCCCCGATCAACACTAAACCTCACCCCAATGCGCAGAAAAATGAATTAGAGTATCCATGCTGTTTGTGAAACAAAGTCCCCCTCCCAGGAAAGGGGTCCTGACAACAATTATATTAAACATATTCTTTTTCATACACCAAAGAATCGGCTTATTAAGCAAACATGAGTACACCCACCCGACTATTTCCCCCAAAATTTTCAGTCCTCGAACACAACTCAAAGCGTGAAAGGGAAAATAAAGACACCTCAACATAACCACGAAGGAAGCATTCTTTCTTTGGGGGGCTTCCCCCCCC